TAGCCTGGCTAATAAACTGATTGTAACCTGGTCTTAATTACTTCAGTCTACCTTCATTCCCATCAATACATGGTCTTTGTGCTACAGATCATCACAGACAACCAAACAGCTCTATTTAACACCATACCTTCCCACCAAAGACTTCCCACAAAACAGATACAGATCACAACAGGACCCTAGTCTACTAAGAACAGAACAGCATGTTAACCCTGTCCTGAACCAGTTTCTGACCTTAGAAAGGGCATATAAGTGATATCTGGAGGAGATCAATGGGTGAAACAATTGCAACTACAAGGGTAATCTCTTTGGGCGATATGGTCCTATGAATTAACCCTAACCCACATTGACAAATCAGGTAGAATAAGTGATGTAACGGGAAGAATGCTGGCCTGGGCATCAGTGGATCTGGGTCTAGTCTTAATTCTGTCACTTCTGTCATTTTTGTTTCTTCACCTATAAAATGAGAAGGCTGGTCCATGAAATTTCTCTCTAGTCCTGAGATTCTGGGATTGTCACAGGAGGCAACTGACTCCACATGCTAGTTCCTATGGAAGCTGCTTTCGGGAGAACAGGTGGCAGGGCTCCACAAGGCTTTCCTGATAAGCCATCCTGTGCCTGTGATGGCCTTAGGTGAAAATAGCTCTGCTCTGGGACTGACACACGCTCCCAAAATGGCCAGGAGCCAAGCAGAGTGCTACACATGTACTAGAGAGCACCATTTCTGCAAGTGCTTATGTCCAAGGTACTGATATTTTTTATTTGTAATTCAACTGGAGCAAGTCTGATATTCTGGGAATTTCAAAAGTTAAAACCAGATAAAAAAGTTACCCCAAAATTCTTAAGCTTCCCTATCCTGTTCCAATTTTTATTATTGTGTATTCCATGCTGGGGAAGAAAAATGAACATTAGCCTGAGAAGTTCTTTTTTCTTCTTTCCTTTTAATGTTTTCCCATTTCTGCATAATCACTACCCTGAGTAAGGGAAAAAGGGAAGGATAGCATGAAGTAATATCCTCTGGTTATCAGACAAAAGAATAGTGTGATCTACAGAGCTAATAAGAATCTGAAAGGAAGACATGCTTCAGAGCAATGTACTTCTCTTGCAGGTAACGACTACAAGTTGATTATATTTGATGCCAAAGAAAGAAGTACTTACTTTTCTTCAGTTGGAGTAATTCCAGGAATACCTGAAGCTTGTCTGGAAGCCTAAAAAAAAGAAAAGTAATTGCTTAAGTACAACCAACTACTATACTTAACATTGTATGATAATTGCTGGCCCTCGATGAACATCAAGCGTTTTAATAAATGCTTAATCACTCTTACCATGCGTCAGGCACTAAGTTCTGTGAATGAAAAGAAAGGCAAAAATGGCCCCTGCCCTCTAAAAGGTCACATGCTAACAGGGGAGACAATAGGCAAATAACTATGAACATCTGAGACAGATACAGAGTAGACAACGGTTAATAACAGAGTAACGGAGCAAGGCCTTCTGCAGAAGGTAGGGGTTGGGCTGAGAACTGAAGAAAACCATGGAAGCTGGGAGGTGAAGATGAGAAAGGAGAAAATTACCAGCATGGAGGACAGCCAGAAATAAGGCATAGAGCTGGAAAATGATGCCATGTGCAAGAAGGCCAGTGTGGCAGGATCATACAGTAAATGGAGGGGAGTAAAGCATAAGAAGAATAGAAAGAAAGGAAAGGTTGCGATGGACTTTAAACGCCAAATTAAAAAAAAAAAGGTTTTGTATTTTTTACTGAAGCTAATAGGGAACCAGGGAGATTTAGTGAGTTGGAGGAGAGGGTGTGACATGGTCAAGCCTATTCTTTAGGAAAACCACTTGGACAACTGTGTGAAGGATGGACTGGAGTCAAGTCAAATCAACAAGCATTTATTAAGCACTGAATATTTGCTAGGCTACTGTTGTTATTTGTCCTTTGTTCTCAAAGAGGATCATGACATCAGGGAGGTGATGCCATGACATGCAGGTGAATTGGATTTAAGTGAGGGAGGGCTGTGCAGTCACCTGCCTCACTTTCTCCTCTGGAGCCATCTGGGTCCAGTGGCCAGATATAGATCACAACAACTGGAGATGGTCCATTTGCCTGTATTGTGCTAAGTGATGGAGTGGGAAGAAATATGAAGAAAAGAAACAACCCGAAGGCTACTGCAATAGTCGAGACATGGGGAAATGAGAGCCTGAAACAGGCTGGCAGTTGTATGAGTAGAGGTGGGGACAAATTGGAGAGATGTCAAAAAAAGTAGAAATGACAAGACATAACAAGAGACTGAATAGGTGGAGTGAGTTCAAGAAAGGGGCCAAAGATGGCCCTGACTTTGCCAACTTGGGTGATCTCCCTCAACAGGAATAGGGAAGTTCACAAGAGGGGAGGATCTGGAGAGGAAGACGAACTCTGTTTTGGAAATACAGATTTTGAGAGGCGTACAGGGAATTCAGTTGGAGATGTCAAAAAGGTAGTTGGCAATGGGAACCTGGAGCTCAGGAGAGAACTGGGAATATTGATTTGGGAATCACTGGTAGAGAGATGATAAATGAACCCTTTGGAACTGATGACATTACCAAGTAAGATAGTATAAGACAAGAGAAGAGGACTCAAGACAAAATCACAGCTCTCTCCTCTGACTGATGCAAATACCTCAGATCTTTTACTAAGCTTAAAAAGATAGCAGTTAATTGAATAGAAGATTTTTATTTCCCAAATTTGTTTTTTTCTTGTGCAGAAGAAAAAAGTTCATCTTGATGTAACTTGCTACTTTGTCATGACAAAATTAAACTAAAATTTAGACAGATTTTCTTAACTTTTAAGGGAAAGCTATTTTGGGTTGTTTATTAGAAAGTAATTGATATGTCAAAAAGAAAAGAAAGACAAGTGTCTTTTTTAAAAGTATACAATCCCTTTGACTTACACGATCCACACTTTGGCAACAAAGGAGGGATTTAAATTTCTCTCTTTGACCAAATTAAAAAAATATTTTCATCATTTGCTTGGCTTAAAAAAAGTTCAAGTCTCCAATCTTTTTGCTTCTCATATTGCATTTTGATGCATATAATAAGATACATTTCTTGTCCACATAGTCACAACAGTACTGCCCATAGCAGTTCTACAGTCAGAATTCTTCTGTACAAGGATACTAATGAATGTAAGCTCCTTGAAGGCTGAAGTTTTTTCCTTTTACCTTTGTATCCCCAGTGCTTAGCACAGTACTTGTAAATTGTAAGAGCTTCAAAAATAGTTATTGAATTGAAATGAAAGAAAAAAATGATTCTAAAATAAACTGAATACATCATACTCTGGTTTGGGTTAACAAAATTCAGCAAATGTTAACTCCAAAGAGTAGATAGGAAAAAGCACTGCCACATGGAAATTGATCAAATCAGAAATATTCAATTTGATTTTATGGGGGAAGAAGAAAATTATTAAAAACAGAAAAACCAAAACAAACACCTCTATCAAGGCTCAACTCAAGTAACATAAGAAGGTCTTTCTGGATTTCCCCAATTACTAGTACCCTCTTCCCCAAATCACTGTCTTTTGCTTGTCTCTATCCTCAGCACTTAGGCTAGGATGCCTTGTACAAAGTATTCACTTAATAAATGTTGATTAACTGATGAAAATGGCAAATCACTCCAATATCTTTGCTAAAAAAAAACAAAAACGCAAATGGGGTCAGAAAGAATCAGACACAATTCAAACAACTTAACAATATTAGAATGAGATTGGTCGGCCTAGCTAAGTGGAAAAAAACAAACAACCTGGAAAAAGGGGTAGATGCTTTTTTTTAATCCCCATTTTACAGATGAGGAAGCTGAGACAGGTGGACTGACTGGTCCATGGTCACAAAGCTAGTGATTGTCTGAAGTCAAACTTCAACTCAGGTCTTTCTGATTCCAGGACCGATGCTCTATCCACTGTACCACCAGCATTTTTGTCAATGCCTCTCCTCTGCCACCATTACACTAAACTTTATATTATACTTATCTGTGTACATGTCACCCCTCCCTCCTCAGTGAATTATAGTATTATAAAACTCCCTTTTATCAATCAATCTTTGTATCTACAGCCCTGGATACCAGGGGCAAGTCGCTGGAGGAAATTGAGGCTCAGTTTCTTCATCTGTAAAATGGGGATTTGTAAAATAGGTGGTGCAGTGGATAGAGCACCCGCCCTGGAGTCAGAAAAACCTGAGTTTAAATCCCATCTCAGACACATAACACTCACTAGCTGTGTGACTCTGGGCAAGTCACAACCCTAATTGCTTCACCAAAAAAAAAAAAAATTAAAAAAAATAAATAAAATGGGGATTAAAAACCCTCTCATAAGACTGGGGGTAAGGAAAATGTCTGGCAAACCTAAAAGCTCCACCTAAATGTGAGTTGTTGCAATAATAATAATAATAATAATCGTTATTATGACACCTTTCTCCTGAAGGTTCAAAGGACTTTTCCTGCATTTTTTTTCACTGCTCCTCTGAGACAGGATGACAGGTACCCCTTACCAGCCCGGAGATAGGGAGGGGGGAGGGATTAGGGCCACCTGCAGAGCTGAAGGGACTTTTCCCACTCTGGGAAAAGCACACCTGGGGACAGGTGTGTTTGCCTCCACGTGCTCCCTGTCCCCCTTCCACTTCAGCAAAGGGGCGGGGCGCAGAGAGGAGGGAAAGTAAGGCCACGCGCGTGCGCGGCCCAGAGATAAATTACAATCAGCTGGGGGAAGTCACCGCGCCTAGCCCGGGGCTTGGGGGAGGGGCACGGGACCCCCGCCGCATCCGCCCCTCCCCCAGGTCCAGCGAGGCTGGGAAGCGAGCAACATGGCTGCCCCGCCCCGAGTATCCCGCCCGCCTTCCCTCCCTCCTCCCGCTGCCGCGCTGGCAGAGCGGGGCGTGGGCGAGGCCCCGGGGGCACGGCCGGTTACCGGGTAGAGGTAGAGTACGGCTCCAACCAGGACCAGCAGGAAGGTGACAGCGAAGATAGCGAAGTCCAACATGGCTCAACCCCCACCCAGGCCCGGGACCCCAGCCCGTGATCGATTGTCTTTCTCGGCCGGCGGCTCCGCGCCCTGACGGAGCCAGACCCAAGCCAGGGAGGTGGGGCCTCGCTGGAAGTCCGCCTCGGGGCGGGACCGCAGGTCTCGGGGGCGGGGCCTCTGGCCTCTTGGGGCGGGGCCGTTGTTCTCCTGCGGCCTGCGCGAGGGTAGGGAGAGCAGTCGATCGCCGAGCGCCCTGGTGAGCACCATGGCGTGTCCTCTCCCGCTGCGCCTGCTCCTGGTGTCCAACTCGCGGCTGCACGGGGAGGGCTACCTGGCGCACTGCGAAGAGCAAATGCGCAGCTTCTTCGGGGGGTGAGGCTCGGGGGGGGGCGTCGGGGAGTGAGACAGGAGTCTCCGCCCCACGGCAGGAGGGAGTTCCCGGGGGGCGGGCGAGCTTGTGGAACGAACCCCAGTCCTACCTCCCCAGGGAGCGCGAGGCGCCCCTCGAGCTGAGTGGTCTTTCCTTGCGCCTCTGCAGAGCCTCACGGGTCGCCCAGGGGGGTCTCAGCCTAGCCCAGAAGCGCCCCCCAGCCGGTCCCGGGAGGGCCCCTCACCTGTCCTGGAAGCGAGTAACTGAATTGTCTGGCATAGAGTAGCAGTGATCTTTGCTCATCCTTGCACTTTTAGGATACTTGACTATTGCACGAGCGTAAATGTCCGTGCGTCTTAGATGCCAGCTGATAGTGTGAATTCCTGATAGAAAAAGAGAATTTATATCTTCCTTCCGGAAGTTGTACAACTAGAATTGTACTCCAGTAGTTTAAGGAGTGGTCCCTGTATTAGAACTGTTAAAATAGGAGAATCTTTGACCCTTTGTTGGAGATACAAGGGCCAGGTAAATTTATGAAGATAGTATTGGAAGTCTTTTTAATATTCTTTGCTTTTCGCCCCTACTTCCACTTTCCTCTTGAACACACACTGTCTTCCGTCTCTCCTCCTCCCTCCCCCGCCAAAAAAAAAATTCCAGAGCTTAATCTGAAACTACTTTACTCTGGAGTTATAAATTACTAGTGTCAGGATAAGGTACTACGTCTTCTTGGTAAGTCTGCATTTTAAATTAAAACAAGGGGACCCCCAAGTAGAATTTCAGACAGTAATTAGAATGTAGAAGAGAGATTATTCAGAAATGCAGAGACGGTGTTACTAGATTCCTTGTTTTTCAGGAACTTATGGGGGGAAACAATGTGTACATATAAAGTCATGTTCAAAATACAAGCAAGATAGGTAGATGCAAGGGCATGTTAGAGGGGAAAGTAATAGTGAGGGGGGAGAAAGCGATGCTTGAGTGAAGTCTTGAAAGAAACCAGGGTTTCCTAGAGTTGTAGGTGAGGAAGATGAGCATTCCAGGCATAGGTAAAACCCAGTGCAAAGGGAGAAAGATAGGAGATGGAGCGTTTTTTGAGGAATAGCAAGTGGGTCAATATGGCAAGTACTTGGAATACATTGAGAAAAGTAGTATGTAATACCAGAAAGATAGGAAGGGCCCTGTTCTGAAGAGTTCTGCTTGCCGAACAGGAGTTTTTATTGTTTCCAGAGGTACTAGGAGCCACTGGAGTTTATTGAATTGAAGGATTGGGGTAGGGGGAAGAGGGTGTTGACATAGTCAGATCTATGCTTTAGGAAAATCACTTTGGCAGCTATATGGAGGATGAATTGGAGAAAGGAGAGATTTAGAGGCTGTTGCTTCAGATTAGAAATGAAGAACTGCTGTCAGGTTGTGACTGAGTGGGGAGTAGAGGTATAAGAGAAGTGTTGTGCAGAGAGACATGAAAGGATTTAACAGCTGATTATGGTGCAGTTGCATGCTGTGTTGTGGGGGTTGTTTCAAAAAATTCAGACTCAGACCACTTCCAGTCCAAGTGAAAGCATTTATTGAGGGTGACACTCTCCAGCCGGCTGAGTTCCAAGAGGAACCAGCAAATTCTGTAAGACAAGACAGGCAATCTTATAGAGTAATGATACTGATTACACAACAAAATTATGAATATTAGAAAGGTAGGAGGGGTTTGTCAAGGGATTAGGTTATAGGGGAGGGGTCCTGACCTTGGTGGGACTGTGCATGCTATTACCCACAATGCATACAGAAAAACATTGGGGGGTATGTATGATAATGATATTATAATAAGCCTCTCTACATCGTAAGTTTACTCTAGGTCAGTTCTTTACTGTTACTGTCCAGACGCCTACTTAGGGAAAGTCCCTTCTATCGTTTTGGAGTCCACATCCTGCACAGGCATCCTGGTGGTGCTGCTTTCTGATTGGCTGACTATTGTGGTCCTGTTTGAAATTGGATGGATGTGTTTGTGGTTGAGTGCATGGACACACTTGGTTCTGTGGGAAATAGGAGGAATGGGTCTGGGGGCAGTGGCTAGCATTCCATCACATGGACATGTCTGCTGTCCTAGTAGGGCATGACTTCATGGACATACCTGCTGTTCTAGTGAGGCAGTGAGGCATATATGAGGAAGTTAGGATATTGGGTTGTGTTGGGTCTGCTCTTTAGTGAGGCCTATGATTGAGTCTGGGGGCAGTGTTGTGGTTAAATCCAGATTGTGTGGTTAAATCAGGACCTATCTGCTGTTCAGTGAGGCCCATAAGGAAGTTAGAATATTGGGGCTGGGGGCAGCTTTATTAGGATTCCATCAGTTAGATATATGAGATGAGTGAGAGTGAGAAGTTGAGGATGACAAGGTTGCAATGAGTACCAGGGTGATTGCAAAAGAGGGTGGTTACCTTGACATGTGTGTTCCAAAGATAGAATGGGTTTGTGGGAAAAAAAGCTGAGTTCTGTTTTAGACATGTTGAGATTCAGATGTCTATGGACATCCAGTTTGAAAGTGAACATTAGGCAGTTAGTGATTTGGGACTGGAGCTTGGAAAGAGCCTAGGGCAGTAGATAGATAGATCAGGGAGTCGCCTAGATCAAGAAGATAATTGAACTGATGAGAACTTGTGAAATTATCCAGTCAAAGAATAAAGAGAAAATATAAGAAGGCTCAGGAGTGACCTAAGGGGTACAACTATGGGGGGCAGGGCACGGAATACAGGACATGAAGATACAGCAAAGAAGTCCAAGAAAGAGCAACCCCTTGGGGAAAAAAAACTAAGAAAAAACAGTCACAAAAACCCAGAGAAAAGAGAATATCCTATGGAGAAAGGATAGATGGCAGTGTCAAATGTGTCACCAGGCAGTCACGTCACGAGACTTATGTGAAAACTAGGTTTATTACAAGAGAAATGAGCGTGCATGTAGAACCCAAAGAGTTCATAGGCCTTACAGAAGTTTGCACATTTATGACCGTCTAACAAAAGGAGGAGGAGAAAACATTTCCACCTAAAGGGGCCTGGCATGGGAGGGGGAAAGGTGCAGTAAAGGTGGGAAAAGGACAAGAACCCTCCGGAAGGGGAGGAGCTAGGTAAGTGAAAGTCGCATCCTTTATCCCTGGGAACTAGACTATGAAGATAGAAGGGTCAGCTTAGCTGCAAAGTACCCCAGCTGCACAAGCCAGCGTGGCACAGACTGTCTGGCGTCTGTCTTGAGTCCAAAGGACACAGGATCCAGCTTGGCATGCAGACAGTAAATTATGTCAGCTTGTGGGGAGGGGAGGGTTTCCCTCATTCATCCTTGACACATTCAGGGCCTCCTGCATGCTCTAGGTCCAGTGTTTCTGGAAAATATGCAACTCAAAAAGACAAGTTCAGGGAACTTCTTAACAGCCCTGAACAAGTGTAAAGGTTGAGGATTGAAAAAGACAATTAGTTATGGCAGGTAAGAGATTATTGGTGATTTTGAAGAGAGTAGTTTCAGTTAAGGTTTGAAGACAGATTGCAAAGCACATTAACATAGAGTATTTCATATTACCCACAGAGCAACCATGGGAGGTAGCTAGGGCAAGATCACTGTCACGTCTTCCTAGATGGGTTGGGAAGAAGAAATCCTAAAATCAGTCTTTACAGAAAAGGAAACATTAATTCAGTTCACTTGATGAGAGAAAATCTTCTCCAAAATTTTGATACATTCTTTCATTTAAAAATTATTTACATGTGATGAATATCTCATATTGGTTTCAAGGTCAAACAGCATAAGTTAGAGCTTGGAAGTCGGGGCTGGTTTTTTTGAGTTTGGTAAAGTGACTTCCCTGTAAACAGACCCAAGAGGTATATACTCTTAGGACAGAACCATAAGTCAAATCCAGTCACAGCAAGAACTCAAGAAATATGATTGACTACGAAAGTTTCTTTTTTTTCCCCCAGAAAAGTGAAGCGAGTTCTTTTTATTCCATATGCACTTCATGATCGAGATGCCTATGCCAAAACTGCAAGAGAAAAATTCGAAAGCTTAGGTAAAAATCTGCTTCTCTCATTGTCAGAATGTTAGTAATTACTTACATACTTATCAGAATGTTAGTAATTACTAGACTAATGTTAGTAATTACTAAATTTTAGTAATTCAGTTATCAGTTAACAAACCCGCCATGTATCATGCCTTGCAAAGCAACCTTAGAGCCCAAGTAGTTGGCACAATTTTTTAAGAATTGAACTAATCTAGTAATAGCTTTTTAGTTCCTGATTTTTTCTCTATTCTAAAATATAGGTGGGGACTTTCCTAGGCAGTCATTTTGGCCTCAGATCTCAAAATTGCTAGAAATAATATTACCTTTGAGAGGCAGCATATATAGTGACTAGAAGTCACCTTGGAATCAGAAAGGGCCAATTTCAGGGAGCCTGCTGCGGACACATACCGGCTGTGTAACTTCAGGTATGTCACTTAAGCTCAGAGCCCCTGGTAATTTTCTAAGACTGTATAAGTTAAAGCTGAGTTGCCAGGCAATAGGAAGAATTTTGGAGTTCCCCAAGTAGTTGAAATCACAGGTCTAGTTAAAAAGGAAAAAAAAACCCAAAAGAAGGTAAAAACAATTTTCAGGGCACTTTCATGTATCATCTGATTGTTAATAATTCATTTTATAGATGAACACACTAAGGCCTTGTGGAGTTAACTTACCCAGAGATGCCAGAAGGCCTGGCACCGAGGTCCAGTACTTCAGCTGTATCAGAAAGCTACCCCTCTGCCTGCCAATTTCTAATGATTGAAAATGTTGCCAACAAAAAGAAAAAGAAAATGTTGCCTATTTAAGCAGAAGTTATATCATATGTGAATAAATCAAATTCTGTTTTGAATTTAAGGATATGGGTTAGACAGCATTCATGAATCTTCTGATCCTGTGGAAGCTGTAAGAAAATCTGAAGCCATATTTGTAGGTAAGTGTGGTGAAATAATTTTGAATCTATAGTTTCAAAGGCTTAAGCTTTCTTTTTAAATTTTGTTTTCAAAAGTTCTAAATTATAATAGGTCTTAAGAAAACAGTTACATATCTGAGACAGGAGAGCTAGAACCATTGCTAAGGTATGACTAAAAAAACCATTGTATGTCATTTCAAGCTATACTTAGCCAGCAGCTTCTAGCTAGAAAAGTATTAGGCGGTTTCAGTCTCCTGTAGGAGTAAAATGTAAAATATTTGCTTGTTAGAGAGAAACAGAAATTTTATACCTTTAACTTAGATCTTGGAATATGATAGTCCAAAAGGCAAAGGATATAGGCTTTATAACTAAGAATAACTTATCCAGCAAAGCTGAGTATAATCCTTCAGGGAGAAAAATGGATTTTTAATAAATTGAGTACTTACATTCTAATATGGAGTGATGATATGTATGGCCCCCTCTAAACGTTATTGGGGGAGCCTCGAGGGAGTCTAATTAGACAACTCCTGGGAATGTTCTGTTATGCCCTGCTGATCTTAAAAGAAGAACAGACAGGGGCAGGAAGAAAAATATACAGGAGCAGGAGAGGGAAGTTAGGGGGAAATTATCTCACATGATCTGGGCTGCATAAGCAGAAGGCTCTGCAAGTAAAGAAGGAAAGGGTGAGGGAAGTGGCTGACACTGGAACCTCACTCTTACGTGGACTGATCAAAGAAGGAAGGAAGGTACATACAAAGAGTTGGGTAAAAAACTCATTTCACTCAATAGGGAAATGGGAGGAAAAGAGAAGGGGAAATTAGATGGGGAGATTAAGGGAGGTAGTAATCTTAAGTACAACAAACTCTAAGGATATACAAAAATATTTAAGCTTTGTAGAAGTGTAGGTAAAGAATGGGAAAAGGGGTGGGGGGAGGTATATAAACATTGGAAAATATCTGAACAAGTTGTGATGGAATACTGTTGTGCTGTAAGAAATGATGAAGGGTTGGCTTCAGATAAACCTAGGAAGATGTGTATGAACCACAGCAGAGTAGAGTGAGCATGCCAGGAGAACAATGTATACAAAGACAACAACTTTGAAAGACTTAGGAACTGATTAGCATACTGACCCACCACAATTCCAGAGAACTAATGAGAAAACGTGCCTCTCACCTCCAGATACAGAGATGAAAGACTCCCAGTGCAAAATGAGACTTTTTTTTTTTTAAACACAGCCAATAATGGAAATTTGTTTTGCTTGATTATACATGTTTGTAGTAGGGGTTTTTTTTTCTTTCTTTTTCAGTGGGGGGAGAGGGGAGTGAGAATGTGGGGTGGGATAAATTTTTGCTGATTGAAAGAAAAAATAAAAAAGAATTTTAAAAAAATGTTTTCTACCTCCTAGCAAAGAAACGATGAACTTGGAGTACAGATTTTCTAGAGAGGTAGGTGGGAGGGAGAAAAGATTTTTGTTGATAGAAAAAAAATAAAATTAAAAACAAAAGGAAGTTCAGTAAAAGGGACCTTACAGTTGAGAAAGTATAAGAGGTCCTCTTATTCTATAACAGAAGAACCACAAGGAACCAGCTGACCTAAGGCCATAGAGCTGGCCCACATCCTGGAAAGAACCTTGTCAGTAAACTATAATTCATGTTGAGATAGAAAGGTATGTCCTAATCAAAGTCTAGAGATAATAGGAATGTTAAACTATCTGTGATGGATAGCAAGGATCACTGGGAATGTTGCTAGATTTTACCTGGGTGATTGTTTCATTAAATAGTTCTATAAGAATTTATGTTACTATTCAGCATTTTAAAGTCAGATATTTTAGTAGGATTAAAAAAAAAATTTCAGTTAAATGGAAAATTCATAGTGATAATTTGGTTCTATGGTGTAGCATCAATCAGTCTATCAGTAAGTATTTTTTAAGTGCTTACTATGGGCCAGGCACTGTACAACGTACCAGGGATACAGGTGCAAAGAATGAACCAGTACCTACCAGCAGTGAGCTTACATTCTGAAGAGAGAGACAAGAACACACAAAAACATATATGGCATAAATATAAAGCTAAAAACAAGGTGATTAGAAGGAAGGTTTCATGTATCAGATGGTATTTTGGGGGGTTTTAGGAAGTTGAGATGAAGGGTGCAGCCAGCACAAAAGCTCAGAGATGCAGTATCATATGTGAGGACAAGTGAGAAAGCCAGAATTCTTTATAAGGTGACCTTTTGTATTTAAATCATCAGGAAACTCCATTTGGAGTGTCACGTGGTAGTGTGAGAAGTTGGTCTACATTGAATTTCTTTTTGAAGGCTTTCTGGTTTTCCCATTAGTTGTTAATGAATAGTAACACCGCAGTAGGGGGAAGCTATGTGGTGCAGTGTTTAGAGTGCTGGGCTTGGAGTCAGGAAGATCTGAGTTCAGATCTGGCCTCTTACTAGCTGTGTGACCCTGGGTAGGTCACTTAACTCATTTGCCTCAGATCCTTATCTGTAAAATGGGGGCACATTGGAAAGGAAATGGCAAACCACTACAGTATCTTTGCCAAGAAAACCCCATGGATTTCATGATAAATTCAGACACACCCCAGTAGTTAGTGTCTTTGACTATCAAATACTGTGGTTACAAGGCTCAGTTCCTTTTGGGTCTTGGGTACTAGTTTATTCCTCTGTTCAGGTTAGCTCTTTGTTAACCATTGTTGTTCAGTCATGTCGGAGTCTTTGAGACCCCATTTGGGATTTTCATTGCAAAGATACTAGAATGGTTTGCCAATTACTTCTCCAGCTCATTTGACAGACAAGAAAACTGAGGCAAACAGGGTTAAGTGACTTGAGACTTAAGTGACTATCCATTGTGCCATCTACCTTCCCATTATTAACAATTAACCAGTAGTTTTGATGATTACTGCTCTGTAGTATACTTTGAGATCTGTACTGCTAGGTCCCCTTTATTCCTACTTTTTTCTCCCATTGTTTCGCTTGCGTTTTCTGACCAGATGTTCTTCCAGATGAATTTTATTACTTTTTCTAGATCTATCAAGCAGCCCTTTGGTAGTTTGGTATGTCACTGAATCAAAATTTGTTTATTGATTTGCCCAACTATGAGCAAGTAATGTGTCTCCAATTATTTGTGTCTCTCTTTCTGTGGAATGTTTTATTTTCATATTGCTCAGTGAGTAGTTTTATACGTTCTTTAGTTATTTTGGAAGAAATTTCTTTTTCTCACAGGGTAGTTGTGAGGATTGATTGATCAAATGAAATAGTATCTGTAAAGCTCTTAGGGCAATGCCTGGCACGTATAGGTACTTAATAAAGGCTTAGTTCTTTTTCTTCTTCCTTCCTTGACTTGCTGTATAGTGTTTCTAGAACTAGATATTAAAAAAGAGTGGTGTCAGTGGTTATCCTTCCTTTACCTGGCTCTTGGAAACATAATCTGAATCAGCTCTGGTAACCCTGTCAGTCCTACTTCTTTCTCGCAGGCCCCACTACAGCTCTTTTTCTTGGTTTTCCTTCAGATTAGGCAAGACTTGTGTGAAGTAGGCATTCAGATGTTTATTGCTGGTAACCACTTTGGTTTTCTCTGCCACCCTCCAGACTAAAGAGGGCTCACTGAGAGTATCACAGTTCCAGTATCTTTATTTAGGCAAAGTAAAATGTGCTTTGGTTCTTCCCCTACAGGTGGTGGTAATACTTTCAGACTCCTAAAGGTTTTATATGATTTAAATCTGATTCCTGAGATCAGGAAAAGAGTCCTACACGTAAGTTGACCTAAATTGCTTTGCTGAGGTTACAATGAAGTGATTCTATGGATATTCTGGTATTTGTTTTCCTATGTCTTGCTTTCCCTTTAAAAATAAATTAGCTGCTACATTTTAATCTCTTCCTATAGGCAGAATCAGATATCACCAGCCAAATCAGTGGCTCTTCTAGCACTAGTGATAGACGCGGCGTTATTTATTATGTGCTTATGGAGGTAAGACTGATCTAAGAGATAGAAGCTAAGAATAATTGTGAATAGCCTTTTAGAAAGGCCCTCCAGAGCTTACTGATATTGAGTACAACGTGTTGATGAACTTGTTCAGAGGTGCTTTCAGAATTCTAGGAAATAAAGTGTTAGATGAACTGAAAAATACTGTTGATAAAGTGTCCTGTTTGTTATATTTGAGTTGGGAAGTGACACAAATGAGATTGTGAAGAATTCCAGGTGCAGGATTGCATTACCTTGATTTTTGTGTTCTATGAAACAGAATATAATTCTCTCAGGGCAAGAAGGGCTGAAAAGAAAAGAATATGGTTAGCCCAGGGATATTTGTAGTGTTATCAAAGACCTCCAAGGCTCTGAAAAAGACTTTGTATGAATCTAATAATCACTTCCACTGAGTTGAGGTCTATTATTAAGCTTGCCAAGGGATTAATAGTTTCCGGTGTCTTAATAAGAATATCTGGAAAATAATAAAAAGGAGCAAGACAGCTGATTTTTCCACTATCTCCTTTTCTTTCTCTCCCTTCATAGATAAAAATACTGCCCCAGAAGCTCCTGCCTTGCATTGTAACCCAAGAGCTATGTACTTTTGCAATAAAAAAAGAAAAAGGGACTTCTTCTCTAGCATTCTTGGGGCCCTGCAAGACATCTTTTTCCCCTCTTGGAAGCCAGTTTGTCAAGTTTTGTGATAATCTAACCTAAATCTTTGTTGTATTTCCAATCACACCTTGTAGAAACCAGGGAGAGCTGATATTTATTCTTTCCTATTTTTTCAGGATTGTTGCAAATAACTCTGGGTCTGGTGTGCTTTTTTAAAATTCTAAGACAAATACCCCTTTTTAATTTGTGCCAACACAAACAGCTGTGGCAAATGTGATATGACACAAGGTTCATCTACCTTCGAGATCATGACCGTTGTATTTTTTGTTGTATTTGTTGCCTTGGGGTAACTGTAAACCCAGAGACCCAGGCTGGAGAGACCTTCGCTTTTCTAGACACACCAAAAGTCTCAGCTTTACCCTCTGGTTCTTGGTGGAGCCCAGACTGTCCACCAGGAGGTAACATTTTCATTTTCACTCCATGTCACCTAAAAACAAGAGTTCCATAATGTGTTGTGCCATCATTTCAAATTTAGATGTAATTTTTTACTGCGAAAGCTCTATGAACATTGACTCAAAAGTGCAGCAGGCCAGGACATCTTGTGTGTCATGGTGCAGGAGGTGTCATCAGAGACACGAATGCATGACTGGTATTTACATTTCTGATTTCCAGTCCAGAGCATTTGATGCAAGGAAGGGCCTTATGGGTTTGAAAAAAGGAACTCTCCAGTGCAGTGATCAGTGCCACCTCTCATTTAGTTACATGTGCCATGCCTGTGTTCATTTGATTTTCTCCTTCATGGCTGCTAGCGCCTCACTCCAAAGGGAGTCTTCCTTCCTTATTTCCAACTATTTTAGCATCGTCCATTTGGTCAGGGATTTAGAGAGATTTCTCCTTCCTCGGAAATGTTTTTTTCTTCAGCATCGTAGATACTATTAGAGACCGAAGAACGGATTCTTCTTGAGGGGTCCATGCTCTAACGTCTGTGTTGACATTGGTTTGTTCTTGGCCCCCCTCTCGTGTCTCAATAAATGACTTGTGTTTTTACCTCAGTTACGTGTATCTTTCAGGCTGGTATTCCATACATGGGATCTAGTGCTGGAACAAACATAGCCACCATCAGCATCAATACGACCAATGATATGCCGATTGTATACCCACCTTCCTTAGAGGCTTTGGGATTTGTTCCTTTTAATATCAATCCCCACTACCTGGATCCAGATGTTAATAGCACACATATGGGTGTAAGTATTCCATTACAGATTCTTATATTGGCTAAAGCAACCATAATGTAGATCTTTGCGTGTACAATTCACACTTGCTGATATTGCTTGAAGTGCAAATGAGAAGAGATGACATTTGAAACATGGAGTTCGAAGCCTATCCACAAAAGCATTATAAGGAAAATGAGTTTGTGTTTGCCGGCCTCCAATCCCTTCCCCTTGCCCCTTGAAGGATAAGCAAGCTCGTGAGGGAGATTTAAAGAAAAGCAGAATAACTGTCCTTAAAGAATTTCAAAGTGCTTTTGAGGAATTTGCAGTTATTCTGGGGAGCTTGCAATGTGGTGCATTTGTGTACAAGTTCTTAATCAGAAATGGTTTCTTAGATTACTGTAAGTTGAAAGTAACAAAACATTAGCAGAAATTGGGTGTTTATTCCTTGCCTTTAGGAGTACTGTGCAAACAAATAAAAAAAGTGGGTGATCGTCACAGAGGTGATCATTGACTCTGTCCTGAAGAGCAAAGTTCATTGGCGCTCAGCCCTTAGTTAGCAGTCAGTAAATAACATATAGGTCAGGACTTCAATGAAAAACATTCACTAATCTCACAGAGTGAGATACACAGGTACAGAGGTTGCCACACCCCACAGTGGCATCTTTTTCCCTCCTGGATTCTTTCCGTAGATGGCAGACCAATAAGCATTTCCATCTGATAGACATAGTGTCTTACCAAGAGAATTGGCATTTGGTGGAAACTGGTGATCTTTACAGACATGTAATGCTTTTCCTTAAGATGTTTTCATTTGATTGAGTTTAAGCCGAAAAACGTCCTCAGTGCATCTTGAGAACACATATTAGCACAGGCAGTGGTCCATAAGAGGAATATAGAGAAGTGTATAACACAAAGGGCCTTGTGTAATAGTAGATGGAATTTATTTATTTAACACTACAAGGCCTATCAAAACCAAAGTATTTACAGAGGAGAAAACAAGACTCTGGTTGAGTGACTTGCCCAAGGCTACACACCAGATGCCTTTCTTACAGTCAGGAATCTCAGCCCGGTCTCCCTTTCCATTACTGCTGCTTCTCCACAGTGCTATACTAACACACTTCAGTTCTTGTTTAATTGATAGCAAGGCTAAAACTAGTTGGCAAGTGAAGAAAGCCCCGTAACAAGGCACAAGGGACTTATTTTTCATTGCATGTGGTATTCCAGCCACTTAATTCTGTGGGTGGGCTGATTTAGGCCAGAGCATATGATGAAGCAAGCTTCATCTGAAGACGGTAATGAGAAGAGAAAGACTTCCCAAGGGCTACCTGAGGAAGTCATTGAGGCTTTCACACGACCTTTCTCAGATTCCCGGCGTCCTTCAGTGAGTGGGATGATGACAGTCCCTCACCACCGACCCTTGCGGCCTTTTGGTCCTCTAAGCCAAAAAGGTCTGCTGAGGAAACTTATAGGCTTCTGGGGGAAGGAAAAGTCAGAAATGGAAACACTCATTGGATCCACCAGTGATTACTTTGTCTTAGTTTTTTCAAACATTTCCCCTTTCTAGGAGACACGGGAAGAACGGATTCTTCAGTATCATGAGGAGCCAGACACCCCTCCAGTACTGGTATTGTCCACATTTAACGTCCATGACTAATCCCAAGAGCGGAAGCTAAAGATGATGCCCTGTACACAGTTACCCATCCCGGGGCTTTGCCTGATTTAGCTTCTCGGCTCTTTCCCCTGCCTTCTTTTCCTTCTTGTACCACTCCACTTTTCCTCTGCCACCTGAAATTACACTGCAGGAAGAAAATCAGTTTTCTTTGTAAGTGATGATGAGATACTGCAGGGAAACAGGAGCAAGAAAACAGCAAGCAGAAGCTTCAGGAGCAGCCACACTCAGAAACCAGGGTGACTCTTGGCATGTAAAGGTACTGGGGAAGCTAAATGACCACGATAATTAGTGATGATACTGGCTTACTTAGGTCATTACAAAGAACTTAATCTCAGACCATTCCTCTTATAAAAATTCCCTTTAAAAGAAAAAAAGAAGGCTTACGTTATATATCAGTCTTTTGAATCTCTTCCTTTGTATCTTTCCTTATGCCATGTCTCATTACGTGAACTTTTTTATAGCTAAGTACTATAGCCAGATACAATATTTTAGGTTAATACTTACTTTAGTTCATATTTAGTTATCCTTTCACCTTAAGAGAACACATTATAAAAATTAATGTATCCCTGAAATGTGTCCACTGAACAAAATTATAACTTCCATTCCGTTGTTCATAAAGTCTACTCTTAAATGGAGAAATAGTTTTTCAGGCAGGCATGCAGAAATTCTCTGAATTAATGTCATTCTTTCCTTAGGATTGTCCCTTTGTTGAGCTTTCAGTTGTAATTTTAGAGATGCAGCATTGATACGTTCTAGAATTGGCTGCCATGTAGGAATTTAATGAAGAATTCACTGAACAAGGGCCATAATGATTACAAAGTAATTATCTAGGCAACTAGTCGTAATTAAAAAACAAAATGCAACTTTTCTTTTACTTATTCTGAAGAACCATTCTTTCTATAAGAACTTATATAAGACAGTAAGTTATGGCCACAATAACTATATTCTGAAGTCATTTTTTACCCAACTGATGTTCTTGATGTTAATGAAGTAGGTCCCAGAGAGTTCTGTACCAAGTCATCAGGTGTATCTTATCCAAGAATAGCTGCAAGCTGGGTGAGGAAACTTTGGCTCTATAGGGATTCCTTTTTTCTGCCAGGAGCCCTCCTTTAGCAGAACATCTCACAAACTCATAACCATTCTTTCTGTCTCTCCCTCCCACTCTTTCTCTCCCTTCTTCCCTTTCATTGTCAGAGTCTGAGGTTCCCATGGCTGGGTACGTGGTAATCTGGTGATTACCATAATAAAAATTATTGATCTTTTTGCAATATAATAGCCACATTTTATTCCCCAAGTTGAGACCATTGTGAAACTTACCATATTAAAATTTTTTAATGAAGGGTTTACGTGAAGGATCGATACTACTGGTGGAAGGAAACAGAGCTACACTTTTAGGAAAAAATAAAGCTCGGCTTTTTCTGAGGTACAGTTAAAATTTAATTTTAGACAATGCTTATTTTTAAGTAGAAAGAGTAATTTTACATAGCTTCACTAAATAACTAGTCCAGAGATCAGCAATCTGTCACAGTCTCATATAGTGGCACATGGCTTTAGGGATGGCAAAGCCCACTCATGAGATGCTGGCACTTTTTCAGATTTACTGTCCCATACTGCCTCTTCCCATGTCATGGTGTCTGGCAACTGACACCATTAATCTAGAAAAAGCTATAACTAGCCAATTTGATTCTGATGGAAATAATCAGGTTGCTGGAAGAAATTGAAACCCTTCTTTCTGCAGGAGAAAGGGATGGGTGGGGCACCAAGCAGTAAAGTCTAAAGTGGCTGTGTCTCTCTGCTCTTTGATAGTTTTGGGGGTAAGACTAGGTTCTAGTGTCCCCAGACCTGCACTTTGTTTCGATGCCACCTGGTTCTTGGTCACTGCTCATCCCCAGAGTGCTCATAAGGGCAAGAAAACATGGCTGTTGTTACCTCTGTCACACTACCCCCTTACCCCCTTTTGGCTATGGACTGTTGGCCCCAAGGAAGGAGCCCCATAGAACGGGGTCTTTGCTGGAGGCCTTCCTTGATTGGGTAGGCAGGTGTTTAGTAAAGTCCTGAAAGCAGCTGGCTCATTTGGCAACATTTAGTTACTTTCAATGTTAAAGTTAGATAATTAGTGAAAATAAATTAGTGTATCAGTAGAGCTTATCTATCGATAGCTAGTTAGGATGGAGCTGTCAGTAATTAGGTAGTAATTATTCATAATGGGAACCTACCTCTGTACATATGAAACTTTAAAGAGATATGCAAAAACACTGCTTATGGAAGGGATTTTAATAAGTCATTAATAATGCATAGTTTTTACTTGAAAGCTTTATTTCTCATCACTTGAAAATTAAATCTAAAAAGCAGAAACCACAATCCAAGGGTTCTCTCCAATTCATTGTGATATATACATTAGTTTATTGGGATAAAAATAACCATAATGGCCTAGTTATTTATTCCTGCTGTTTCAGTTTTAATTAATAAATTGTAATTTATATTGAATAAGTTTCACTTAATTGAAAGTGTCTTTGGACTTGCTTGTGCTTTTAGGGCATGGTTTTTATTAGATTCAGTCCTAAAAACAAGGCCCAGCCATTAATCTTTCAAAACCATATTTGGATTTTTATTAACATAGGTATTAATTTAGATCCTAAGTCCTGTCAGACAAAGCAGTAAAATTGTAGTATTCCTAGGCTACATAGAGAGCTTGTCTTCAGAGATATGTTATTGTTGTTTATCTGTTTGGAATCCAGGGGTGAGACACCAACAGAACATGAGCCCGGAGCCGACTTCAGTTTTCTCCTTACTAGTTCTTAGAAGCTACCAGCCTTGCCAGAAAAGATAATCAGTGGTGTCACAGTCAAAAGAAGATTGCCAGTATAAATAAAGTAAACATAAGACATTAAACTGAATACAAATCACAATGCTCCATGTGCTCCCATGTGCTATTTGGCAATATCAGTTTTGTAGCTATAACCATTTGGCTTTACAGAATGCAACTTTTTAAAAATAAATTCTATAATAAACTTTTGCCTACATTTTTCAGTTGCTAAAAAGTGATGTAAAACCAAAGTTAACATACCTATCGGCATGTGGGAAAAGGTATTGCTTATGTTTTGAGGGCACACAAGAAACTTTGCCTAAACTTTGATCTCAAATGTACCACTAATTTATCTGTGGCAGATGTGCATTCAAACACCAGGAAAAGAACATCCAGTTTTTTATTTGATCCAAACCCATTTTTATATCTCTGTATATACATGTGTATGTATATGATATATACAAAGCTAATTTTATCATTTTATATACAAAATAAGTACATTCTTAGAAACTGATTACAAATTTTCAAGAGACTAAAAATGTGCAAAAATTTAGACCATCTTCAATCATGCTGTACAGAAATAAATCAAATATCAGCTCATATACAAACATTTAAAATAATTAAAATGCACTTGATTTAACAAAAAAAAATACACCATGTATTTAAAAAGCACAAGGAAAGAAGATATTGCACCTAATAACAACTTCATTATAATTGAAAGAATAATCAAAATTATGAGATGCTCATCATCCCAGTTAAGACTTGGTTGAATTTAAAGGCTTTTTTTGTTTTGTTTTTGGCATAAGGAAAAAAATCCATTGTCACATCTGCAAAATGAAGAATGTTCTAAGGCTTACTGGCCAATTTTCTAGTGTCAAGAAACTAAGCAAATTTTGAGGCACATTTTAAAATTACTTTATGACTTTAAAACTCTTTAGTTGCTATTTTTAGCATATTAAGCAACAGCAGTTTCCAAGATGCTAGACAAAAAGTCAGTGTGTTTCCTCTAAATAACAGTTCTGTAATGAAACTCAAAGAACATGTGTGTACATACAGATGCATGCAAGGTTATCATTGCCTGGACGACTAAAACCACCCCTTGAAAATGTAATGGAAGTTTCACAAAAAACTGAGAAATGAGATAAACCACCTTTGGGCTTTCCCCACCTTATTCCCACAGCAAAGACTGACAGGAAGGTTGACAAGAGAAAGTGAAGAAAGGTGGCCACATCCTGATTACAGTTTTGCTCATTTTTTACTGCCCCAAATCTATGAAAGGGCGATACCGTAGCGGAGGAAGGCAGAAACACCGATCTTCCTGCCTCTGGATGGAGCTGCGAGGAAATGCTGGTGAGGGGAGAATCGTTTTTCTATCAAATAGTGAAGTGGAAAAAAATGGAACAAGGAGAATTTAGGCAATAAGGTTTCTTAATGAGCCATAATTTGGGGGTTGAATTGTTAAGGAAAGAAAGGGGGCTAAGAAAAATTGATTCCCAGTTCTTCTGAGATCTACTTAAGTTCTAAGCGTCTTAGCCAAGGAAACGCTTTTATACAAACATCTTTAGGAAGAACTGATGATCATAAGAAATAAATTCAAATACTAATGTGTGGGAGATACTTAAATCATAGCTAAAGACTTAATAATTGTGTGTGTGTCTGTAAAAAAAAAATTACTTTTTTGGGGTGGGGGTGAGAAGTAGCAGCCAGGTCATAGTGGATAAAAAGCTAATGTCAAAGTCAGAAGACCTGGATTCAAGTCTTGCTTCTGACACTTACTAGTTGTGCAACCCCCAGGCATGATAGTTAACCTCTCAGTGTTCATTGAATGAGACTCTCCATCTGTGCATTTTCATAATCTTGTGTGTACATAATTGTTTTCTCTCCCATTAGATTTTGGGCTCCTTTATAACAGGGGCTATTTTTGCCTTTCTTTGTACCCTTGGCTCTTAGCAGAGTGCTTGCTACATACTAGTTGTTGCTCAAATGTTTGCTGACTTGACTCTAAGACCATACATTGCAGAGAAGGTGTCAACCTGCACTGGTAGTTTCTTCAACTGAGTTCTCCAGACCAGTGAAATCACAGGTCCAATTCTTAACTCCATCCTATTTTTTTTTAAGCTCAAAATAAAAAATGTATGAGAATAAAAGAGGTAGACTAGATTATTTTCTTTTCAAATGCACCAAAATGATATTTTCTAGTTTCTAATAAGAAACACTACTTGAACCTAACGACTTTCAAAAGGACAGAGGTGGTAAACTGAATATGTTGTTGGAGGCCCTATTACTTACTAACAACATCACCTTGGACTTTAGTTTTCTTATTCATAAAATGAGAGGTTTGAATTAGATTCCATTCAATTTAACAAGTGTTAAGTGCCTATGGTGTGTCAAGCACTCTGCTGAATAACTGAAGTACAAAGACTAAAATCTAGGCGATCTTCAGGCCACTTCCAGTTGAATATGTTTAAAAAAGACATAATTGTGAATTCTGAATGAGAACATAAACTGAGGCTTTATATGGAAATAGCTTTAAAAATCACAAAGCAAATGTTCAATAATGGGCTGGAAGCTTTCTGATTTTTTGAGGGTTTTTTGGGGTTTTTTTTTTTTTAAGATAAAGATAGATACTATTGTATCTACTCTTTCCTTTCCTTTCCTCTCTTCTATTCACCAATTCAGGCTGCTTCCATCAGAATTATAAGGACTTTAAAAGTCATATTTTAGATTTTATAAGTATCCATTGCAAATCTTACTTCTGCTTCTGTTCCTTAAGTGATTATTAACAGCCCTTGAATTTTAGACCCAGAAAAGATCTAGATTCCTCATTTTACATGAAGAAATGGAAGCTCAGAGAGGTAATCTGACTCACCCCAGAGTCATACATCTAATGAGATGGGCTTCTCCCTTTATAGACTATAGAAGATTTTACATGAAGTCCAAAATGTTTATATTACTTCTCTTGGATTTTATCCACCATTTTTCCTTGTGTTTTATGTTGGTTACTTTGTTTCTATATTGACTAATGCATCAAGGGTAGAAAATTTACAATTGTATTTTTCTGGATTATTCTAGAATTCCAAAACAGTTTGTAAAAAGAGGTCTTATCTTAAACTTGGTGATATTAACTTTTCTTTGTATCTTAATGCATTTTATACTTTTTAAAAACTCTGGTAGAAATAGGATTGCAGAAAACTAGCATCCTATTGTTATGATTATCTAGTGATATAATTGGCCTTAGCTATTTAGTTCCTATTAAGATCAAACTCTATAGCATTTGTACCACAAAATAAATATGCTCTCTAAACAACAGAAACCCTGAGAGAGTTCACTGTTTCTACATTTAGAAAATGAGCACAATATGACAATTTTTAAAGTAAATCAAAACATACCAGTAAATTCCAATGATGTACTCAAATAGCATTTTGTGTAGGTGCTAATGTCCAATTAAAATATCTGGTACTGAATTTTGTGTATGTTTTAAATAACTAAAAAGTGACCCCATCTGAATCTCTCTGTACAAATCTTAAGAAAAATCTCAAACAAAAGTTCTAATTTCACTTGGGTTAAATAAACTCAAAATTTTTTTCAGTCAATTTAGAAACATAATCATGTTGATCTCACTTGATAAAATCTCAAAAATGGAAAAACTAAAATATATATATACAGATATCCAAACCTTTATCTGTTACCTGATTATTAATTCTAACAATAAAAATTCTATTAAAATTGAATGAAATTAACTAATAAAAGCAATAAAACAAAATGGTGATTATCTAGTGATTTCTGAGACCTCTACAAAATCCTTTGCCTGTCACATAATTTTACTCTCACAGCTGTTCTACTGTACAGTGTCCTTATACGTATGGTACACACCCTTGGGACATCAATTTATTTCTATTGTAATACCCTTCTTAAACATGTTTTACCTTATTTTGCTAGTGCATTTAATTTTTGAATTTTGAACTGAGATAAGCCATAGAAACACATCCTTCTCTTGTAATGTTCCTTAACACCAAATCCTTCCTATTACATCTTATCTATTTAAAAACTTCCACATAGAATCCTTTATTTAAAATTTCTCACCAACCAACAAAGTTATAAAGAGGTCAATATTAAATGCTACCTGGATTAGTCAAATTATTTGAGAATGAAAAGATTTAATCAAAAGAAAACTAAACTGTGACATAAAAACAGAAGGCATCAATAAAACTTTAAAAATAAATAAACAATCACACACATAGACCTTAATTAAATCAAGTAGGAAAACTATGCCTTGTGGAATATAGTGAAAAATTATTGTTTCAAACAGCTGTGAGTTCAATCCATTACATTAAAAGTGTGAAGATGGTCTTATAAAAACATTGTGCTTAACAATCTCTTTTACTTTTAAAATGAAACCAATCTTTTCCTGTTAGTCTTGAACAATAAATGCTTGGACTTTCAGCATTTAACAAGAATAAACAGGAATTAAGTCCATCAACCTAAACCAATTAGTTTTCACAACTATCAGTTGGAAAAATATGTGTTTTTAAAAGAACTATATCTCAATGATTGATTTTTAAATGGTATACATTTTTCCAATTAACACATGAATTACACATCAAAGGAAGGTTAAAAAAAACACAATTTCAACTTGGGACATTATTGCTGACTTCTAGTAACTTTCTAGGAAAACAATTTGCTTAGTAAATAAAAATTCAGAAATAATAAAACCTACACAATATAAAATCAGGCAGATAAAGAACTGTGATGTTCCAAATGCATTTCAAAGGATCTGACTGTCAAAACTGAATACAGTATTTTAGTTTACTAAATTTTATTTAAATTATTCAACTACTAATAAATCAAGAGGACAAAAATGTACTTCTTGTCTCTCTACTTTCCCCAGGCTTTATTATTTTAAGATAAAAATACATCTGAGGAATTTCTCAGAGATCTGTGTGCTGAGTTTTATTAAAAAAGGGTTATGTAGCAATTTCTATACTTTTTTTTTGGTTTATCAAAACCAAATTTGGTTGTTTTTTTTTTTTTTGGTTTGTACTTTAAGTACAAATGACTGGAACATCCAGCAACAGTGCAACAAACAGACTTGAAGAATTCTTAAATTCAGTAGGAGCTCCAGAAAAGAAATCAATTCAGGTGCTTAAATAGAAAGGCCTAAAAAAATTCATGTAAAAGGCCACCTTTCTCCAATATTCTATAATA